CAAAAAAAAAAAAAAAATTAATAATACTATAGTATAGTTTCTTTAATTTTATTTTACTTTCCTTATTATTTTTTTTAAATTTATTGGTATTTATGTAGTATAAAATATTTTTTCAGTAAAATAAAAAATGTTAATCTTTAAGTTAATAAAATCTTCTTTTGATTTTTGCAGACATTGAGACGTTTGGCTCAGAATAGAGAAGCAGCAAGAAAAAGCAGGCTTAGGAAAAAGGTTTATTGATTAATTTTATTTTGAATTTATCATATATTATTTAGCATATATATTATATATATATATTTATTTTTCATTTTTTTATTGATTAATTTAATTTGAAATTTTATCAACAGGCTTATGTACAACAGCTAGAATCAAGCAGAGTTAGGCTGAGTCAACTTGAACAAGACCTTCAGAGGGCTAGGTCACAGGTAATATATAACACTCAATTATTATTTCATACAAAAAAAAAAAAAAATTATTAATATTATTTTTTTAAATAAAAAAGGTAATAAAAAATTTAATGCCCTAACATTTAAATAAGTTATCTATACAAAGGCTAAATATAGTTGATGGGTCTGTAATTAATTATTGTGGTCAACAGGGGCTTTTCTTAGGATCAGGTGGGGTTGCTAGTGGGAGTATTAGCTCGGGTATGTATATATATCTAATTTTCTTTAATTTGCTATTTTATCCTTGCATTTTTTCCATTTTTCAAATAAGCCCATTTGTCCTTGTGCATTTAAATAAATCATTTTATTTATATTTAAATATGTATGATATGAGATAGGTGGAGATGACATTTTTTTTTTTAGTTGTACAATACGTTTTTGACAAATCAATTTCATATACTTGTATAATTTAAAGTAAAGCTTGGACCATTTCTACAAAAATATACAATTATAATTTTTAAACTAATAGTCATGATACAAATAACATAAATATAAACATCTCATATATTAATTAAATTATATATTTTTGTTCAAAAAGTATTACGGGTCGATCTGTATATTTTCTCACATAAAAATTTGGGCATTGATAGATATGGACATGAATATAAATATTTATGTTTAAAAATTTTAGTCTTAGGGTACTTACTTACCATCTTAATAAATAAAAAAAATACAATGTCAAATGTAAAGTGTGTGTTTTCTTGAATTGTACCTTTTTTCCTCATAGAAGTACAAGTCATTCTCTCACCTTAAAGTGTGACAAGCATGGCAAGGATTTAAGAATATTTGAGAAAGGGGGAGCAATTTAGTTTATTCATTATTACTATAATTAAATGCTATTGTGAAGTTGAAAAAAATAGGAGATATTATTTAAGGGACATGCTACAGCTCCGTTACGGAACCATTCCGCCGGGATTTATAACCGTCAGATCATGATGTAACCGTTCGTGGATAGTTGATCTAACGGTTACAAATCTCGACGAAATGGTTTCGTAACACGACCGTAGAATCTCCCATTATTTTAAATGTCAAAACTTTTCAATTATTAGACTTGGATTAGATTTCCACTTAAATTATCCACATTATTGACCATAAGAGGCATACAATCTTGAATCTTCAAGAAAACCAACATATTTGACCAACATTAGAAAACATAAAAAAATTTCAAATAAAAAAGATGAAATTAATTTTTTATTTAATTTTTTAGTTTGTGCTCAAGACAAAACAAGCCTACATTTGACTAATAGATTTTGGGTTTCCCATTTTCCTGTCAGAATTTAAGTAGCAGTTTTAGGAAAAATGGAATCATATCAAATCTCAATATGTTCAGATATCATTATATATGACCAGTACTTTCATCTTTTACCTTATGTTTGGTCCACAAAAGTGTGTGTGTGTGTGTGTGTGTTCTCTTGTTTTTACTTTTCTTATTTGACTTGTTCTTAATATATATATATATATATATATATATATACATATATTATAAATGGAAAAATATATTGTAATTATAATTTTCTCCATGAAAAGTAGTTTTTGAAATGTAATTATAATTTTTAACATGATTGTTGATTATTAATAATATTATACTAATTTAGGTGGTGCAATATTCGACATGGACTATGCGAGATGGCTAGACGATGACCACAGGCACTTGTCCGAACTCCGCAACGCGCTGCAGGCTCACTTGCCAGATGGCGACATGAGGTTAGTAGTCGAAAACTACATTGCACATTATGACGAGATTTTTCGCCTCAAAGGAGTTGCCGCCAAATCCGATGTCTTTCACTTGATCACCGGCATGTGGGCCACGCCTGCCGAGCGCTGCTTCCTCTGGATGGCCGGTTTTCGCCCTTCTGACCTAATCAAGGTTCCAATTTAACACATTCATACATATAATATGTTTTTATTCGTCAAGAAATATATATACTTTATCGGCTTCAAATTGTTTATTTCACTTTGTATTCTATTATCTAATGAACTACAGTCCAGTTACGGGATCATTCCGTCAGTGTTGTTAACTGTTAGATACTACGATGTAGATTAATGTATGGTAGATAATCTACGGTTAAAAATACTGACGAAATGATTTCGTAACGGGACTGTAGTCATTCTTTATTTTCTAAATACCTCATAACTTGAAGAAAAAAAGATTATAACTCGAAAAGTTTTTTTTGGCGATTAATTAATTAGATGTTGATAGCTCAATTGGACCCGTTGACCGAGCAACAAGTGATGGGTATATACGGTCTCCAACAGTCGTCTCAGCAGGCCGAAGAGGCTCTATCTCAAGGTCTCGAGCAATTGCAACAATCTCTAATCGACACCATAGCCAATGGCTCGATCAACGACAACATGCACCACATGGCCATTGCATTGGGCAAGCTCGCCAATCTCGAAGGCTTTGTTCGCCAGGTAATTAGCCAAATGTGCTCTGATTTTTATTGTTTTCTCATATTTCATGTCTGTTATGTGATTTGTTCTTTTCATAACATTTATCAGTCTCTTTCAAGACAACTCTGTGTTGGCTAATTGGTTTTCAAGGTCATCTTTGAACTTTAAGTTAGTGAGATAAGTGATAAGTGATAAGATAACAAAGCAAATGTTGGCATTTGATACAACAGAGAAAAAGGACTTCAAGTGCATTTCCTTTTGGTTTACGATAGTTACGAAAAAACCCACGAGGTTTAATCTAATTGCAAAACCGCCCCATATCTTTCGATATTACAACACCCCCACTGGAGGTGTGTATTTGCTTTACAAAACCCACCCTTTTCTAAGGGTGCAGTTAATTACTTATATAAATAATAGGGTGGTTTGTAAAATATAAAATGAGTAAACATCACCCTTTTTAATTCTAAAATTATTCAGGAAAATTTATACCATCTTAACTTTGTAACTCCTTAAACCTTATTCAGTACATATATATGCTCTGTCTTATATGATAGTACTGATGGATGTTTCACTATCAGATGATCTTTGTTCTAAACGTCGGCCTAGGCGGCCGCCTCTGATTTGCATAAATAGGTTGAAAAAATCGGTCAAGCGGCTAGGCGGAGCCTAGGCTGACTAGGCCCCGGCTAGGAGTTCTAGGCGCTGGTCGAGCACCTAGCGGGCGCCTAGCGACTTTTAGAACAATGCAGATGATTGAAACATACTAAGAATATACCAGCAAAATCTCATTATAAATGAAGAATTTCAATACTTCATCCTCAAGGAATTAAAAATCTAACTTTTTGCATTGTCTTTATAAAAAATTGCTTTTTTTAGAGCAGTGTATAAAAGAACAAACACTAAAAAAATAAAATCTTGGAATATGATAATGACTAGTGAGTAATGAGTCCATTTTATGGTGGAACCCTACAGATAATGGCCGATTGGCCCATCACCAACCAATCATGGAGGCATAATATATTTCTTATTAAGGCCCCTCTTTTTTATTTTATTAACTAAATAATAATTTGCACAAACAGCAGACAAAACAAAAAAAAAAAAAAAAATTGTTATTTAAATTTATTTATTTGTCCACTAAATGGGCAAATATTAAAATTTCCAATGTCTTAGTCCTGACCTGCTCCAACCAGAGCATAATTTTAAAGCAGAACATATTTTAAACTTAAGCTAGCTTTCTGATTAACCTATCAAGACTTCATTATTATTATTTTTTAGGGAAATGTTACTGTCCCGTTACGGAACCATTCCGTTGGGGTTTGTAACCGTTAGGTCATCACGTAACCGTTAGGGATAGTCGATCTAACGGGTTACATACCCCGACGGAATGGTTCCCTAACGGAACTCTAGCATCTCCCTATTTTTTAATTATGTTGGTAAATTAGTCTTCATAATTGCTTGTTACATACTATTTTTGAAAAATTGCAGGCTGATAATTTGAGGCAGCAAACACTGCACCAACTGCATCGGATATTGACCGTACGTCAATCAGCTCGATGTTTCTTGGTAATCGGGGAGTATTATGGCCGATTACGAGCCCTAAGTTCCCTTTGGGCATCAAGGCCTAGAGAGTAAGATCAATTTACATAATATATATTTATTATATTTAAATACCCTTTTATTATTATTATTTTTTTTTTTCTGATATCATATTTTTATTTGATAAATTATCAGGACCTTGATCGTAGACGATAATTCTTGCCAGACGACTATGGATCTGCAGATGGTACAATCTTCTCAGAACCAGTTCTCAAGCTTCTGATGAGGAAAATGTTTCTTGATTAATTGCTATTACTAAATATAAAATTAGGAGAAATAGTTGCATGCACTCCTAGCTATATTGAGGTTGGTTTGGTCTTAGCTAGGTTGCTTTTAGAGAACTATTAGAATTGTTTTAATTTTGCTCTTAAAATATTGTAATGTCCACTATGTAAATGTGAAAATTAAATTCTTATTTATGTGTCTTATCTATATAAATTTTTTGTTGGTGCAATTTTATTATGTGTATACAAGTAGTTGTTGGTTGGATAGTTTAAAGCGTGCACCAAAGATGAGCAAATGGAACGAATATAGGAGGGGAACAATGAAATCTGCTAAAGGTGCAAAATCCAATTGGGAAAGCTTATGCTTGGATATAAAATATTTTGAATTTCATTGGATTTTTTTTAGTTTGGTATGAGTAATTTTGAAAAAAATAGTATGATTCGTTGTTAGTGGAATTTTTTAGTTAATATTAAAAAAAAATATTTATACTAAAATAATTAAAGTTGATTTGATGTAAAAGTATGAGCAAGATAATATGAAGTGATGGTTAATTAAAATTATGTTAGTGGATGAATAGTGAAATAAAGTTGATGTAATATGTAAGAATGATTGGGTAATATTATTTAATTATATTTATAATATTGAAGATAATGAAGTTGAGTTAAAGTTGAATTAAATTTGAGTTAAAAAAGTTACTGGTTAAAAATGATTGAATTTTTGTGGAAATATTTGTATCCAAGCATCCTCAATGATTCATAGGAGGGGACCTGAATGCAATTTCCTTGAAAAAAAGGAGGTAGACTCGGCTTGAATCTTCATTCTCAGCCTTCAATGACATTATTAGCAGTACGGGTATGCTATTTGACATGGCCATGGATCATCGGGCCCGCCGACCTGGCTCGGACCTCGACTTGGACTCGACACGAAGCCGACCTGGTCAGACCCGTTGACCACGGATCCAGGCTCGGCCTGAGTTTTGATCGGGCCGAATCACAATCAGCCATTTTGAATATTTTTTCCCGAGAGGCTGGGCCAGGTCTGGAATGGCCTGAGAAAAATAAATGTTCTTCATTTTTTTTTTAACTGCAACAACCATCTTTTCAAATCAAACAGACCCTTAACCCCCTCTGAAGATTCTTTTTCATCCTTTAGTCTTTCCTATCATATTGCCTAATGGTACGAGCTGTCTTAGGTAGAACGCTACTTGTCCTTGGCCTAAATGTTGCTCTTCCTGGTCGATTGTATGACCACCCATGCCTACAGATCGAATTTTTAACAGGCCATCTGAGGGCCCTAGCTCGACCTGTCGTTGTCCTTGTGAAATCGTCGCTCTCTACAAATGCCTTGTTGTTGTTCGACCTCTCGGCTGCTCTGTTTCAGTTCGTTCAACCCGATTCACCGATTCATTGCACTTGTTCTTCTGGGTGCGGTATCCCATATCATCATTATAGCCTAAGTAATCATGCTTTACCTTAATAGACATACGAGTGGTAGGAACTACTACATGGCTCTTAAGTTAGATATGGCTCAAGCTTTTGACCGGTAAAGTGGGACAGTGTTAGGGAGACCATGTTTAAGTTGCGTTTTAATGCTACTTTTGTGAAATGAATAATGGCTTGTTTAATCTCTTCATCATTCTCCTTCAAGTTAAAATGACAAAGCTTATGGTTATGTCAGCCCTTCTAGTGGAATCAGGCAGGGGGAACCCAATGTCCCCTTACATTTTTATTCTGATCTCAAAAGTCCTTTCTCATCTCAAAAATTCAGAAATCAAGAACAAAAATCTTTCTAGCATTAGAATCTGAATAAGGGCCTCCGCTTTCACATCTCTTCTTTGCAAATGACACCCTAATCTTTACCCAAGTTGATAAGCAAGCTCTGTTTTATTGCAAATTTTCAAGCAGTATTGTAACCTAACTGGCCAAAACGTGAACCTTGATAAATTAACCATTTTCTTCAGTAAAAAAACACACCCGCTATGTTCAAAGCCAAAGTTGCCAAACTTTCCTGGGTATAACCTCTCACTCTTCAACTAGATATTTAGGGCTTCCCATTAGAATTGGAAATTAAAACATCTCAATATCAAAGGAAAGCTGAAACACTTCTTATAGAAGTGTTTTTCTGATGCTCTGCTTGTGAAAACTATTCTAAGGAAAAGAGGACTTACTGTTGATTGCATCTGTCAAACCTGTGGTGAGGATTTAGAGACAATTGAACACATTTTCTTCCACTGCAAAAAAGCAGAGAATGTATGGAAAGCAGCCCCTGTCAGCTGAGATAATAATCATGGATTCAAAACAAAATAAAGGAATTGTTGGGGGAGATGTATGCTCTGCGGATAAATTGGAGGTCTCAGAAGCAGTGTTCTAAAAGTCTCAAGGTGCTCGACCAACGCCTAGCGCCTAGAGTGCCTACGTGGGGGTCTAGGCGGCGCCTAGTCTGGTCCAGAAATCAATATTAAATATCTTATTTTTTTTGTTTATTTTAACTACATATAAAATAAAACTATATCAATTTATAATAAAGCCACACCTAAGTCCAAATAATAATATTAATATATATTTTAAAGAAAACATAAGAACAAAATAATGTAATTAGTATTTATAAAAATAAAAAAAATTGAAAAATTGCCGCCGAGCCGCCCAGGAGAGCCTAGGTCCGCCTGGCCGATTTATTCGACAATTTTTTCAAATTGGAGGTGGCCGAGCACCACCTAGCACCTAGGCGCCGCCTATGCCGATTTTTAGAACAATGCTTAAAAGCTTGAATCGAGCTAAGCATCTGTTGAAGAGGTTATGGAAGACTCGAAATTTGTGGATCTTAAAAAAGGAGAGGATGCCAACACCTTTGATTGTCAAGCTGGCTCAAAGTGACTGGCTCGAATTCTCGAAGAAAAACTGCAGGGGATCATATGAGATGCAGTCGAGGGGTCTAGGTCCGCTTGGTTTAGTGGGCATTTTGCACCTCTAGTCTACTTTGTTTCTCTTTTTCTTATTTTATTTCTAATGTTTTTTGCTTGTCGCTTAGTTCCTTCTAGTTCTGGTTGGCGCTAATTTGTTTCTTATTGGAAATGCTATTGGTGTGGTTGTTGTTCTAGGGCACTCGGGTGTGAGTGAGTGGCTCTCTCTGATTCGGGCCAGTTGGCTCTCGACCTTTATTTCTTGTACAATTGGTGTTATAATATTGTCTATCGTTTCACAAAAAAATAAAAAAGGAAAAAAAAAAAAATCAAGTGTATTAGCAACCTATTTTATCCACTAATGTTTTCATAAAAAGAAAATAAAGTGCCGACTCCATTGTTTACAAAAAACATCATTTTGTGCATAGATAAGCGGATAGATTTTAATTCCTCTCAAGCTCAAGCTCAAGCTCATCGAATGTGTATTGGGTTAATGGGAAAAAAGAAGTTGGGGGCTAACTAAAGGCATTAGATTGAAGTAAAAGTTTACTAATGTTTTCATATCATTATCCTACAAGAGAAAAGGTGCAAGAACATGCTTATCAAAAGATAGCTAAGTATGCTTTAATAGAATGAATCAGAGTGGAGTAAAGAGGCTTAAACACACAAGCTTATCAAAAGGATATCAAAAGGAGCATTGCATAGCAGATAAAATTCCGACAACAAAGCCCGAAAACAAAGAAATACGCCACCATAACATACGCTATATCAGCAGCAGCTCTGTTCAATTTCAACATAAGAACCAACCGAAAATGAGCTCTCTTTCACGTGCTCTGGACATAAGGATAAACCCTAATATTAATACCTCGTTCGTCATGGATGCCGAGATCCTTCAACACCCGTGTACGACAATCGTAAAGCAGTAGGGAATCGTTGGAGCCCATAAACAGAGCTTTATCATTCTTGTAGAGGCCAATTACACGTTCAACACAAAAATAATCATCATCATAATCATCAACAAGAGGGACATTGTATGTAGAATCCAAAGACCAGCCGTCATTCCATACCCAAATCTCGAAGTCAAAAGGTTCCTTTACAACAGGTTCATCACGCATCTTTGGCTTGTACTTAGACACAACAGCGGCAAGCGACCCACGAAACTCGACAATGCGTAGACAAAAGAGGTCAACGAGCTTATCGCTCTCGGGAAGTGGAATGAGATTCAGAAAGTTCTCATTAGTAAAGTCGAACGAAACGATAGTGGCACCGAGGCGGGCCGGGTCCACGGCATCAGCTATCCAATAGGAAATGCCATTTATGTGAACACAAGAGCATTCAACGAGTGACACATAGCGAAAATGCGGATACGGAATTCCCTTCCAAGAACCAGTTTTGAGTGAGAACAACGCAGCGTGGGCTTTGTCCTCCACCTGCACCTGCCCACAAGGGTCTTCCCAAAGGCCACATCGGAGCACCTTATAGTCCTCAGATGCAGGATCAAAGCCTACGCCGTGACAATTCCAATAGACCTTCAACGATCTGAAATCACGCAGCAAGCGCGGCGGCCAATCAAAGAAAGGAAGGGGTCTCACCTCGTCGGTCGTGGGGTTCCAAAGGAGCTCATATGGACCTCCGTATAGTGCCCTGTTACACCTCAACAACATCCACTTGTTGCAACTCGCTAGGATATCATAATTGCTTCTCCCGTACACAGGACAGTAGTCTTCATCTCTGAGGAGCAAAGAGAAGTTAGGGCGATTGTCTTGTACTACTTTGAACGAGCCGCCTTCGGTTGATATTACAGAGTAATCACGCGTAAAGCCGCCGTCGGTCACATGCTCCACCGCGAGCATGAGACTGTTGCTGCTGATGTTGGCGCAACGCTTCAGATTGGGCGGATACCACAACGCATATGCCAGGGCAGTACCGCCGGTGGCCGGAACGTCGCGGACAAGCGAAGAAGATGAGTCCCTTGCCGAGAGGATTCTTTTAAATTTGTATTTGGCGTTGGACACAAGATTGGCGGTGGATTTCAGGATTCCCATGGCGGAAGAAGAAAGAAAGCCTAGCCGCACAACCCGGTATGAAAACCGTATATC